TAAATAAGAGATTCCCCCCCCCCGCCCCCCCTCCAGCCATTTACACAGTCTCCCCCCCACTCATCCTAGAGAGACAGAGCTCCCTGGAGTTGTGAGTGGCGATTTGTTGTTTGTTTGTTTTTACACCGCGCTGTAGACAGTGACACCTTTCCTAGTTCTTCTTCTGAATTTTTGGGCAGTTACAATTATGGAGACAATTTTCTTTTTAGGGTTGGAAAGAAATTCAGCGCGTTCAGATATTCTCCCCTCCCGGCCGGTTTCTAATCAGGTCCCAGATTTCGCGGCTTTCCAGAGACTTCCGCTATTTTCAAAGATTCCGGCTGCGGTTTTGGGGGGTGTTCGGGGGGGTTTGCTTGTCAGGATGACCGCGCAATCAGGGGCGATGTTCCTTAGGCGGTTAATCGAATTAAATACGCCATCTTTTCCCACCCGCTCCTGTTTATTTCCAGCAAAACCTTTAAAAATGTGAACCTGACCCCCTTGCCCATGTATTAGACGTGTTATCATTCTGTCCCCTCTGAAAGAATGTCCGCTCTAGCTGCTTAGCGGAAGACGTTGGTTTTATTATCGGTTCCAGTCACTAGTGCCCGGTTAGGAATCTAGTGAGTCTGTTATTTTGCACACGATGGACGTGGGCTAGTCTGCAGCTTGGTGGCTTCCGAAAAAGCGTGCAAGTGTCCGAGAAAAATCTCTGCCACTGATAAAAAAAAGGAGCCGGGTTCTGATCCTAGTCCTTGCTCGCCCGTTAGAGCCGGATAATGGTGGGACCCCAGTGGCGCGTTTGATCCACCCCCTTCCTGGCTTTTCTCACCGAATCTGGCAATCGGGGTCATGGGGTTTGGGGGGGGGCAGCCAGTGAAAGAAGCAGCCGCCGACCACTGAGCTCCACCGGAGAGTCGCTTTCATGAGCTGCGCTTCTGTGGTGGAGCAAAAGCGACGGGCCAGACGGGGGATCCACCCGTCTCCGATCGCCTTTGTGGGCGTGTTGTGTCCCGGCTGCGGGTAGAGAGGTGCCCGCCTGCCCCTCGGGGCTGTGTCCCTACGCGCAGGCAGTTCGCAGCCGTTCCTGGGGGCCGCTAGCTCCGGGCAGTCCCGGGAAACGCCCGGGCTCCGCGCCAGCTCCACCGGGGCTGGGGGGGCTCCGCGGCGCCCCGGGCCCGCCC